TAGATTTTACAGTGATATTGGCTTCCCTTCATTCTCTCCCTGTTATATCCAGAATTTAAAATCCTGCTCCTCACATACAAGGTCTTGTATAATCAGGCCCCATCTTATCTTAATGACCTTAGTACCATGTCACCCCATTAGAGCACTTCGCTCTCACACTGCAGTTTTACTTTTTGTTACTAGTATTAGTAACAAAAATTTAAAAGTAGAATGTGAGGCAGAGCCTTCAGTTTTCAGGCCCCTCTTCTGTGGAAGCAGCTTCCTGTTTGGATTCAGGCGACAGACACTATCTCTACTTTCAAGATTTGGCTTCAAACTTTCCTTTTTGCTAAAGCATATAGTTAGGGGTGGATTAGGTGACCTGAATCCTTAGTTATGCTGCAGTAGGTGTAGGCTGCTGGGGGATTCCAATGATGCACTGGGTGTTTCTTCTTCACTCACTATGTGTCAACAGACCTCTCTGCACTGAATCATATTTGTTATTAATCTCAGGTTCTCTTCCATAGCATGTCTTGCTCCTGTCTTCCTCCCCTGAGACTGGCTCTGCTGTAGGCTTCTTCCTGTTAAAAGGGAGTTTTCCTTCTCGCTGTTGCCAAAGTGCTTGCTCATAGTGGGTCATATGACTGTTGGGTTATCTCTGTATGTATTATTGTACGGTCTACCTCACCGCCTTGAGGCGACTGTTGTGATTTGGTGCTGTATGAACAAAATTAAACTGAATAATAATTTTCTAATTTTTGGGAAACAAACCAAAACAGTTGGAGAGTGTCTGACCTCACTGACTGTAAGCTGATCTGGGACCTGTGCACTGGAGCAATAGCTGTGAGTGAACCTGGACCAGCACACTCAGAATCAGGCTGGAAGACAAGAGACCTCTAAAGACCTGCTGAGGACAGACCAGGATCAAAGGAACCTGTATCCCAGTGCTTTAACCTGTGACCATAGCTAAGGGGAACATACACAGTCTTCATGGTTCTGACATGCTATCATGTGATCATACATGTGACCCCAGGTTTAAATGCTGCACAGAAACACAAGTGATGATGGTGGCAGTCATCATACCATCAGTTGTGAGGACAGCTGATGACATTACAGTTGATCAGACTTGGCTCGCTATGTGCTCAGAGGTTTTCTGCTGCAGCTCACTTCCTATTCTCTGCTTGCACACAGGAAGCTAAAGTCGCCTTAAAAAGCTGTTGTTGTGAGCTGATGATTGTCAGGCAGCTGATGATGACAAGCACGAGACTGTGAAGTTGGGCTGGGATCAGATTATCAGTTCCTTGGTTTGGACTGAGCAGCTGTCACATTCTTACCTGTGCAGGTGATCGGTGTGTCAGCGCATTCAGGTGATACTAAACATTATTAAAACAGGAACGCTGTGTGTGCATGTGTCCCCGTGTGTGTGTTTCTTTTAAACTTTATCTGATAGAAACAAGCTCAGATCTGAAAACGAAGCGCGCGTCTATGCGCGCGCACAGGTGACCCGCAGCGTGAGTGCGGAAGTGAGCGCAGTCAGTACCAGCTGTGCGTCGCGCTGTGTGCGGCGGTTCTGGTGTATTGTCGGTGATTTTCTAGATGGGTTGCTCCTTCTCAGCGGAGGCTCCGGACCGGCGGCCGGAGCAGGAGGAGGAAGAGGATGCGTTGCCGGTGAGTCTGAGCGCGGAGAACCGGGAGGCGATCAGGAGCAGTTGGAGGGAGATCCAGGAGGACATCAGCAGGGTGGGCGTCATCATGTTCGTCAGGTGAGTTCACGCGCGCTCCGCCGTCCTCTGTACCGTCACGCAGGTAGACGTTATGAAGGAGTGTTACGTCAGAGCAGGCATCCTTAACTACCGGTCATAAAGCCGTGTTGAGTTTGTTTAAGGGCGAGGGTCTCTCAGCTCGCAAATCTGATCTCCCACCAGCCCACAGGCACGACTGTGACGTCAATTCTGCGTAAATCGACGTTCAGTCAGAAAACAGTGGCTATTATCGTTTAGATGATCAGATTATTGTAAAAACTGCGGGTTTTTTTTTTAATGCTGCAAGGTTTGATTGACAGCTCATCACCAAACAGCGGGCATGCGCAGGTCTGAAAGACTTTCTGGTTCTGATGCAAGTGAGTGCCTCAGAGTAAGGTCAAGTGTCAAAGGTCACAGGAGATCATGTTCTGCTTTCTGGAGTCTGAGAAAACTGTGCATCGGTTAGACGAACCCTGACAGCAAGTGGGCTGTAGCTGGTTTGGTTGCTGTGCCTGAATTCGCGGTGGGTGGAGGTCCTCCTCTCCTCTGCAAGATGGAGCAGGGCCAGGCAGAGCCACAGTGTTTGGGCTGAGGTGTGCTGTTTACCTGCAGACTGATGTTACTGATGTTCATGCAAAGCAGGTGCAGCGAGCCGCTCTGCAGTCTCAGCCGCTCTCCGTGGTTTGTGCACAGCTGTCTGTTTTCGCCTTGTGTTTGTGTGTGAAACTTCACCTCAGCCCTCAGCACAGCACAGAGGACTGTGGGTAATGAGGACGTGACCTTTCTGCAGCTGCAGGTTCACTGACTGCCCTTTGTTAGCTTATCAGACATCAGAGCAGTGCTCACACCAACCATTTAACTCCACCCCAACCCTCTTCCAGGCTGTTTGAGACTCACCCGGAGTGCAAAGACGCCTTCTTCACCTTCAGAGACCTGAATGATGTGAACACCCTGAGGGCGAGCAAAGAGCTGAAAGCCCACGGCCTCAGGTTACACACACACACACACACACACACACACACACACACACACACACACACACACACACACACTTTAAGTGAGAGCTGAGCAGTGTAACTGTGAGTGTGGGGAAAGTTTGTGACCAATCAGAAACAGGGACAGATGTGCTAACAGCTGATCAGCTGATTTCACAAATGACATAAAACACTAATATTAGTCAAATGAGGCGTCAAACATAAATACCACCTCTGTTGGACTTATAAATATAGTTCTTTTGAAGTCAGAAAGGATGTGAGGGTGGTGCTAATCTAATGTCATACACAATAACAAGAAGTAGATGTTGTTATCAGTCATAATGACTTGCGTCCATTTTTATCTCTGAAACTGAAACACTTTGTTAAACTGTGTGGGAGAGGAAATATAAAACTGTACTCTCACCTCTTGCTGTGACATTTTGTATGAGGGCTGCGATGAGGGCTCAAGATATATTTATTATTGTCTCTGATCAGTTTTATTGCAATCATACAGAAGCATGAAATTAACCTTTCATTTCATTAAAACACAGCCCAGAGGGCCGGTTAGCTGACAGCTAGCAGCAAAAGCTGCCTGTGACTCCTGCAGTGTCTCTGGTTTTAGCAGAGCCTCCTGCTGACTGGTTTTCTCCTCTGCTCTCTCTGCAGGATCATGTACATCATCGAGAAGACGGTCGCCAGGATCGACCAGGACGACCGTCTGGACCAGCTGATCCTGGATCTGGGCAGGAAGCATTACCAGTACAAAGCCCTGCCAAAATACTATGATGTCAGTGTGAAGCTGAACACAGTGGTGGAGATTTGTTTCCACTCAGCTGTGACATTAGTTCAGTCCACACTGGTCATCCTCAGCCGAGCCTGCTCACACACGTCTGGCAATTCTTCTCAATTTTCTGAGATTTAGGCAGATTGAAAGCTATAGGAGGGTTGTAGAAGATCTGGAAGAGTATTGTAGGACAGCTGTAGGAGGAATGTAGGAGGGTTGTGGAAGAGCTGGAGGAGGGTTGTAGGACAGCTGTAGGTGGACTGTAGGATGTACTAGGACTAGGGATGGGTATCGTTTAGGTTTTATCCGATACCGGTGCCAAACCGGTACTTTTGAAATGGTGCCGGTGCTTAAACGGTGCTTGAACCGGTACTTAAAGAATGGAGAACACAAACCTTGTCCAAA